TATTGCCATGAAAGGAGCCCTTCACGGACTTATACCCTCGACCGGATGACAACGAGATAACTGCTAGGCGGGCTGTCTCTTGACTCGAGCAATAAGGCGTGGGACTATGGAGAGGTGTGTTGATGTCGTACTGTCTTCATCCGAACAGAACGCCCGGTCATTATAGCTGTATTTGGGGCAACCTTTTGGTCTAAGATATACATCGATAATGACCAGGCATTCTGTTCGCGTGAACAGCCGTTCACAACTAAATGTTGATGTACCACCTATTGCCACGAAAGGAGTCCTTCACGGACTTATTCCTGTGACCTAGTGACAACGAGATAACCGATAGGCGGGATGGCGCTTGAGTCAACGAATAAGAGATGTAGGGGAACTATGCGGTGAGAAGTCGTGTGGATGTGTGAGGCAGAGGAGATCAGGACTGCAGACAAGGAGCTGCCGTCGATCAGATCAGGGGTGTGAGACCGTGCGACAGAACATAAGAACTGTCAGTGTAGTCAAAACACCCACTGTAACCTTTTTTGTTTTCTTTCTCATGAAAGGAAACGAAACGAGTTCGGAAAAAAAGACTGAAACATCAGGAATGTATAATCCAAGCTGTTTGCTGTCCCCTCTCCTCACTGCCACTGCACTCCCTACCACCGCTGCTCCGCGTATTTCTTTGGTATTTTACTATATTTGTTGGCAAAAGCCCCAAAAAGTCAGGTCGTTCGGCACAGTTATCCCTGCCGGTGGGAGATGCGAGTAGTGATGTATCTGACCTGAATTCTGGTCAGATGCAGTCAAGACGGTGCGATGATTGTGGTCAGACATACATACATGGTATTTATTCACCGCCCTGTGTCGGGGGCAACGCACGCTAACACGCCCGGTAACCTTATTTAAGTTCCCCCGGGTTGGTTTTAAGCTTTTTGAAGTTTTTTTAGGAGAAGGGTGTTTGCTGTTTTCATTTTTTTTTGGAGGAGTCTGCACTGCGGCTTGCGGTTACAGTAGCGATAGATATTGCTGGTCCTTGTAATGTGGTTGATGTCACATCATCATTGAAGCTGTGACGCCCCCGGTAGCCGCACAAGCTGCACCCGCTCATTTGCCGCCCTTTACGGCCTGCCCGGATGCAGGCAACTTCGTTTTCTGACTAGATGCATTCAGACGTCCGCAGACTGCGAGTAGGGTCTGGAGTACTCGTGTCTTAATGTGCATGCGCTTCACCCAAATAGAATACCGGGTCGTTATAGTTGTAACTGGACTGAAAATTGCACCACATACGGCAATACTGACCGGGGCGTTCTATTCGGGTGAAGACCGTACGTAGTGTTCTTTTCCAGCAAAGCTTCACTAAGGGTATGGCATGTGAATATGTTTTTGTACCTGTGCTTTTTTTTTGCTTTTTTTTTTTTTTTTGGACCATTTCTCAATTTATGCGTATGCAGGGTCCATGCTAATCTTCTATGTAGTGTTCCACTTTTAGAAGATGTCCCCAAGGAGGCTGTTCATGTGCATTTTCTTGTTCATCTGATGGTATCGAGATTTAAACTTGGCCCTGCCTTTCAATTTTCAACAGCTCATGGGTAGAGCAACTGAGGCAGGGCTTCTCTTGTGTGTTCTTTTTTCTTTTTTTTTTTCCAAGTAGGTATCCATTATTATAATACAAAAAAAAAAAAAAACATCGACCTAGAGTCAACGTGAATGTTCCACGATCCGCACTCAAAAGTCATTTTGTACACTGCACTGTGCATTCAGGTAGATGTAGACTACTAGCATCCTCGACCTGCACACCGGCCTCGTGCGCACACCCTCAGAAAAAAACAAGCAACGTAAAAAGATAACGCTCCACCCCTCCCACACACACACACACACGTGCACCCACACATTTTCACCCACTAAAGATTTGTCTCTAAATGACCACCAAAATGCTACCGGTCACAACCGCAAATCTTCGGCGTTCTTGTTTCTTGCTCGGACAAAAGTTCTGTTTTCCTTTTCTACAAGTCTGATGCAGGTGTGACTTCCGTTGTGCTGTGCCATGCTGTCTGCAGATGCAAGTACGTCACACGGTGACATCAGGACACCGACAAGGGAAGTCTCCATATCTGGTAGACGAAGGTCTACTGGGTCACCACTGCCATCGCCCGGTGCATCTCCTGTCCCGAAGAGTCCGCGTACTGGGTCCAAATTTGGGTCCAGCTCGAAGCAGCCCTGGTCGAGTGACAGAAAGAAGGCCCCTCAAAGGCAAGAGAACCCAGACTTTTTCAAGAACCGCCGCTCGTCGGAATGGCATGTTGAGGTTGCTGTTCCTACGTTGAAGAGGCCACCGCCGCCTCAGGGACGGGAGAACACCCGAACGGAGGATGGGGGTGACGCGGTGCGAATCAGTAATGAAATGTTCCACGAGAAACGAGAGAGTGGGACGGCTTGGGCGGAGACCAGCGAGCGGCCGAAGCGAGAGGGAAGGGTGTTAGAGGAAACCCTTCAGAAGGTCGGTGAAGTGCGGGAGACGTGCAAGGCAGAGGTGAAGGAAGCGGAGGCGAGAGGTGTAGGGAGTGGTGGCAGGTGCGAGGGTAGAGAAGCGGAGGTTAGGGTATCGTATGAAGATGGAAGGGACAGAGAGCCAGAGGCAGAGGAAGGAGAGGCGATGAGGGTACTTGGTGTTACGCGGGAGAGGGGACGATGGAGGCTTGGAGAGCAATCGAGGGGACCGGTCGAGGAGGTGGAACGGCACTTGAGTAGCGGAAGGGAGAGCCCGACCCCGAAGGATGTTGGCATAGTTCATAATGAGACTGTATCGGAAAGTCGGATGGAAGATCTGACGAGGAGGGGAGACACACCTTTGTCCGTCGTAAGGGAGTTCAGGACGCTCAGCCTTAGCGATTTGCCGGGTCCAAGCGGTCAAGAGGCCCAACTTGGGGAAACGGTTGTGGGATCGGTCCCCCTGAGCATGGGGGGAGGATGGCCACCGTCGCGGTCGAGCAGACGGCGAAGCCTGTCGTGGGGCTCCCATCTCCCTGTTCCGCAAGATGTGTTGGGAGGAGACTTGGAAGGCGCCATGGAGGAGTTGCGAGGTGCCGAGTTGAGGGCAATAAGACGGCAGTTGATCCGACTGGAGGACTATCAGCAGAGGATGATGGAGATGCTACAGGACTTCATTCGGAATTCGCAAGATACGCTGAATGGCGTCGAAGGTCGAATGCGAGCTCTGGAGCGGGGTGCGGATGGCATTGGGAGAATGGTATCAACAACGCCTACTCGACTCAGAGCCTCAAATGGCGGAGGACCTCTAGGAATGATGGGCTATGGTGACGAGGTGGTCAGACGCAGCAGTGGCGGCCAATATTGGGCGGGCTCCGATGGGAGTGCGAGCGAGTCGATTGAGGGCGCCAAGTGGAGATCGGCGGTCATGGGCGACGCAGCTCCAGCCCATTTAAGAGAGGAGGCAAGCCCAGGACGCGGAAGCAGAGATGCTGGAGTGGAACTGGACGATCGACAACCGCCGAGAGATCATCCAAGTCTGGTGAATGGACACATGTCGGCATCCCTTTCCGGAACATCGTCCTTGCTCCCCACAAGAGATAGGAACATGGTGGGATCCGCTGCCTCGAACGGTGGTCTGGTGGGTGGAACAGGTGGTGGGCCCGCTTACCTCGACATTGGGAACTATGAAAATGGGCATTCTCATCGGCAGAGGGCCTGGGGGAGTGTTAATCGGGCTGGGAGTTTGGGTGCAAATGCTGTGGGAAACGCCGATGGCATCAGCTCAAGTGGAATAGGACGCCTTCGAAGCTCACAAGTCGATGTCCTTGATGCTGAGAAGGTTGACGAGCTGTACGCTTGCTCTGTGAGGCTGTCAGATGAGATGGAGCTTGTGAGGTTGATGGAGAGGACTGGGCCCGTGCTCACAAAGCTGATGCCCGACACGGCCGAGGAGGTTGTGAGACAGCTTGTGAAGCTGCTGCCCAATAACACATGCCTCGACACAGTCGTTCTGTGGTTGGGCCAGCTGCTCGAATTGAACCCGGACGTCTTACCCAAGCGCGTCCAGATAGAGGTTCTCTCTGTGCTGCGCGAGCTCGCGTCCGACCCTTCCGTTGTCGTTGGTGGCGACATGATTGCCAGGTTGGTGGCCCAGCTGTCAATTCATTGGGCTCCGAACATGCTTTGAATGTGGACATTTTCCCTCTTCCCAAAGTTTTGCTGAGTTAACCGTGCGGTCCTAAATCGAGTGTTCCAGTCTGTGTTTGGCTCAGACATGGATCGTCGTCTTTCCCTTCCTCTCTCCTCGCACGGTCTTTTACAGGAACCGCGGTCGTATATAAATAAGCCAGTAGCCTAACGCCGTGTGGGAGGTGCTGTCAAAGAAGAAGAGTGTTGTTGGATGTCACAGTGACACCTTGGTGGTTAGTATGCGGACACTCTGAATACTGATGTATGAGGTGGTGGCATGATCGTAACACAACTTACCATGCAGGTGGGGCAGTTCTAACAAGAAGAAGTGATACAGTCTGTATGGGAGCAGGGGGTGCTCACTAGTAGAAACAGGTGTTTCCACTGCAATAGGATGTGCATGGGACCCCATTTCGGATGAAGTCCGGCGGGGGGCAGCAGTAAAGAAGAAGCAGAGGGGGAGCTTTTGTCAGTATGTTAGATGTGGAGCTGTGCAGTCTCTTAGAGGCACAAGTGCCAGCATAGTATAGTAGGGGTGTTAACTTCATGTGTAAGTCTTCTGAGGCCTTTGCATTCTGTTCTGGTGTGTCCCCCTGGATGCGGGGGTGGGGTTGGTTCATTAATGAGAGGAGGTGGTGGTATAATCTGCACAGTTTCTGGAAGCAGCTCAGCTCGTCCAGATGCGGCGTACCGGTTCGCCATGTATTGGGTTTGGTTAGCGCATTTGCGCGTGCATATTGTGCAGGTTTTTGGTACCAGGGCATGCCGGATTCAGTTTTTATTTCCCGACTTGAGGGAAGGCCGGAGAGCGAGCCACACACACACACAGAGAGAGAGAGAGAGAGAGAGAGAGAGAGAGAGAGAGAGAGAGAGAGAGAGAGAGAGAGAGAGAGAGAAGCTGGTTCGCCTACGCGACTGGGAACCTCAATGCTTAATGGAGGTGAAAGGTTGCCTTGTTTGTGCGTGGATGCTTGTGTGAGAAGAAAGGAGCATCTGTGAGTTTGGTGGTTGTGCTGCTAAGAAAGACGAGGGGATGCCAAAGAAAGAGCGGCACTGTGGCAGTGAAGAGTACTGCATTATGTGGAGTAGCTATGGAGAAAAGCAGGAATAGCATAAATAATGGAGACAGATGATGGCGATCCTTGGCTGCTGACATGATGGTACAGAAGCTTGGATGAGCGTATGAATGGAGCTTGTGAAAAAGGAAACAACCAGACTTCAGCATACTACGCAGGATTTGAACCTGTAACCTGTCCCACATTCCTGATAGTTGGCCTGCCCTTCAGGAATAATACGAAGGACGTTCGTTTCCAAATGCACAGCAACAACATGTGAGGGAGGCGTGGTATTTGAGCATGCGCATGTGTGCTCGAGATGGTGCCGGCAGTTTTTGCCATTTCATTTTTCCAGAATAATTTGATCACTAAATAGTGAATTCTGGTGTTTTATGTCACGAGAAAAACACGTTTTACGGAGCTGCCATTACCTCAACACTTCGTGTCCAGCTCTTGTGACCTGCCTTCGGCCTCGAGTGACTTCGTAGAGGCTCGAAGAGCTATTGTTCCCCCAGCTCCTTCGTGGCACATCGCGATCGCTTGGAAAGGACGTCAGCGACGAGACAAAATTTTGTTGTTGTCGTAGTGTTAGAGTACGCACAGCATTTCGCTGTTGGGAGCTGGCCTGTGAAGGCTGCTTGCTGGGGGGGACCACCATTCGTTTCGTTTCGGTGAATCTTGCTCTTTCGGCGACTTAGGATGTCTTGGGTTTTTCCGGTGCTCGGCGCTCGTCATATATTTTGTGGTAAGCACTTTTATTTTATACCACAGCCGGAGGCTGTTCTGGGGATCGCGTCAAAAGTTAAGGTATGCTGCACTGCTGGTGGGGACCACCATTCGTTCTGCGGATCACGTCAACAGCTGTGCTGCTGCTGGATGTCATCACAAACACATTCTTCACCCATATGCGCATATTTCTCGCACATTTCTCTCTTCCTGTGTCGTCTTTGTGAGATGTCATAAGTGGTGGCCGCAATTTGTTTGCCTCCCATTTCTTTTTCGAGAGCTTGATGCACTTTTCATGAGCTGATGGGCCAGCGATGGCTGCTGCTTGTGCGCATGAACCTTCATTTATCAGACTTTCCCGACCTCTCGGGAAGAGAAAAAAAAAAGGGGGATGGAGGAAAGGGGACGGATGTCTGGACTGATGCATCCATCCTATATATATGAATGGGGTTGGATTCCTGGACAGATGCATCCATCCTATATATACGCTTGTGGTTACATCACTCGTCAGCTCAAACATCAATGGTTAACCTATGATAGAAATTTTGGAACAATCCAACCCAAGAACGAATGGGGATGGATTCGATGAATCCATCCGATATATATACGATACGATGTCGATCGTGATTGAGATTAACCACCCACCAATCTCATTCCCAGGTGTTTTGGAACACATGATGTCCAGACAAGGAGGGGCTTTGCAGAATGGAGGACTCCTTTGCAAGTTTGCAACACTGAATGAGAACTTCAGTTGGCTGGTGGGGAGGACCTTTTTTTTTTTTTTTTTTTAAATGTATTTAATGCCCTGAACGGGAGCATTCTTTTTTTTTATATATTTTATTATTTTGTAGATTTTGTTAGTTTCTTCTCTCTCTGACTTTCCCCTGTAAGGACGGAGTGCTGCTATTATTTTTCTGAACGATTTGTATTTTCAATTTTGTTTAAATTTGTTTTTTTTTTTATTTCCTGTAGTCGCCCATTGTTCCCTCCCTCTACCAAGGCCTGCATCCACCGGACCAGTTTTAATGCCTGCCTGATTTGCTGGTTGGATAATGTTTGATAAATAAATATGATGGAACGAGTGGGGTTACGCATGAAGTGGGATATGCACTCGTTCCCACTTTATCATCATCCTACTACTGTACTGTTATTAGGTGATTGGTCCAAACTTCGAATCCGACCTTGCCTCGACTTAACAGTCGTGTGCAATGACCCTGTGTGTGTGTGAGACGTGGATGATGTTGCGCATCGCTCGCTCGCTCATGGAAATGCACTTGCGCATCGAAATGGGACTTCTGTCGATATGTGACTTTTTGAAGGCACGGATGATGTCTCCTTTTTATTTTGTACTTTTTTTTTGTCATGTCTCAAAACTCTCATCCATACTCTTAAGGTAGGTGAGTACTGCGGCTCCCCACCAATAAATTGGAGCACCGGGGTGTATTATGCAGTCGAGGTCCGAGGGAGTTTTTATTTGTTTTTGCAATGCACAAGGTTTAGTCGTATAGCGGGAAAGGCTGTAAGTAACCTCTTTAGTCGGAAGACGGCAAAAGTGTTTTCCCTATTTTGGTATTTTTTAATTTTTGGTGTTTTAAAATTTACCACCTCTACCGTTCAGAGTGGAAGCGGGAAGGTGAAGTCTGTCACAGCCCCTCGTTTGTTGTCCTCTTCTCTCTCTCTGCCTACGGTTTACCGGGCAGTTCTGTTTGTGACGATATATATATATATATATATATATATACTGTTGAGGGTTCAGCCTCCTGATGAGTCGGTGAAACTCCGACGAAACAGTTTGTCACAGCCCCTCGTTTGTTGTCCTCTTCTCTCTCTCTGCCTACGGTTTACCGGGCAGTTCTGTTTGTGACAATATATAACCAAACCTAGACCGCACTCTTTCGAGGCCAGCGGTGACCGACTGGCCGCCGGCAGACCAAAATGGCCGGCAGCACCAACCGAAACGAAACAGAAAAGGTCGAGAGCTCGTGCTTCGGCAAAAGCTTGGCGCTCGCCTGTACCCTCGTTCGGCAAAAAGAGGCTCAGAGGTAGCGG